GATTATTACTTGTCTGTACTTCAATATTTTTCACCATTTGTGGAGAAACATTAAAACAAGTTAAATTTTTTTTAAAGTATATTTACGACATAAACCTGGATATGTACTAAAACAACTTTTCTATTTGTAAACTCAAGATAACTACAATGGTTTTTCATATATAAGAACAGTCATTTTAACATAGTAACCATAATTCTGGACTGTTCAGTTTTATCTTAAAACTTGAATATGGTACATTAGAGGACTGATTTTTTTTTAATTTATGTGACTAAGCACTGTTATATTTAATAAAATAAGATCAAAGTACTGTTTTGATTCATTTTGTGTTTTGACTTTTTAAGGCTCCTGAGTTCACACAGATCCACCTGACTTGTTAGAAATGTGAAGTAAAAGCACAGCAGGGTTGGATTTCATTTAAAAAATTCAGATGGACTTTTTTTTTCTGAGAGACATACACATATAAAGGCATATCCATGTGAATATCAACGTTGTGTGTTATACGTGTCTTTGTATAAGTGGCCCTGTTGTTCCATACCTGGCCGCTGTAGTTGTTAGCAATTTAGCCAATGCTTTGTTTGTAACTAATTTAGGAGACAAATGGAACTGTTGTGAGAAGGTATCTGCGTTTTTAAACTCCTGACTAAATACTTTTAGAATTAAAAAGTCCTCAAAGTTACTAAATTTTTCTCATAAAATGTCCTTCCGATATTTTTCCTTTTAGTACAAATATATAATTATATACATCCTGGAAGGAAAAAAAAAGAAAGAAAGAAAGAAAAAAGCATCCCCAGTTTTTTCAACTAATCTTCATATATTCTCTAAAGCGAAATATATGACCCCAATCTACTGGGATCCTAGAAAAAAATATTACAACTTCTGTTTTTAATTTAAAAAAGAGAAAAATTAAACCTTACTAGTATTTAACATAAGATTAACACTAGCAGCTTCACTCAATTATGAGATAAAGAGTGAGTTCCACATCACAGAGAAACAGAGCCCTCATTCTTTTGTTTCCAGCTTACTGAGATGTATTACAATTTATGTGTGCCTACCTGAGTGGATTTGCAAGTATTACCTAGTTGTCTGTTTGGTTTTTTTTTTTAGCTAAAATGTCCATTTATTCGATAGCAGCAATATTTTGACAGTATAAAAACCCTTTCCTTTGTTGAGCATTAAAGGGTAAGGTTATAAAGACAGACAGGATGATGGGGGAAGAGGACAGCTGAAGGGGGAGTGCACAGTGTACATGTTGGATGGCAATGAAACAGTCACAATCCACCGGCCTTCCCACCTGAGAGAAATGTCTATGTTCCCTCTGAGGGTGTTACAAAGATTAGGAGGGCTGTTGAGGAGAAAGAGGAAAATGAAAAGTATCTCAAATCCACAACCATAGTTACGGCCTAGGCATATCCATCCTTCATTTCAAACAACCTGGTACAGCTGCTAGGATCCAGACTGATGAAACAGTTAATGTGACCTGGGGGCTTTGTAAGCCGCTCAGTGGTAGCCATCAATTGGCAGGAGAGACAGAGTTTCCCTGAAACTGTCAGATGAGTTGGAGACTGGCAGGTAGAGAGGATGGAAAAGGTCTAAAGGCCTCTGGTGTTTCCAAAGCTTGTTTAAAAAAAAAAAAGAAAAGAAAAAGAGGGGTCTTGGGGTCTCTCCCACCCCATCCCCTTGCCCCCACTCTGTCTCCTGGGTTCAGTGTGGGGTGGGGGAAGATTAGCTGCTCCTTCTGACCAGGAAGCAGATGGGCAATGGACAGCATAGGGTTGGGGGCAAGGGGGAAAGAGGGAAGAAGGTCGGGGGTGGTTGGTTGGACTAGCTGGTGGTGAGACTCACCAGTTGTTTGTTGAGTTTTCATTACTTTGTGAACTGGAAGAGGAGGAGGAAGAAAAATCCCTTCCTGTCAGCCCCAGGGGATTTGTAGCAGTGTTTTGTCCACTTAAGCTTTTTCAACACTCTGGGCAGGTATCATGCTGTTCCAGCCACATGAACAAATGCAGCTGTCTTGGAATGAGTGTAACTTATTCCTGGCCAGGTAACTGCCAAACATCCTCACCCAGCCTTCAATCATCTTTGCATACAGGACATTCTAACCCTGAACCTACATGTTCCTCTGTGACTTGTATAGTGGGAAGGGCTAGTATTTTCTCTTTGGTAATGGGGAGGGGGGGTGGGAGGGAAAGCGGGTGTCTTCAAACCGAGTAAGGAGCTGTGTAACCATCGCATCCAGGCCATTAGCACCCCAGGAATAGTTGATTGGATTTGAATGAAAAACACCCCAAGGCCCCAATCCCAGGTTTGGTATTGTTGCAAGTGCAATAACTCCCTTGACCAATTGCTGAATAATCCCTTCTAACGTTGGGCCGCCTTCATGCTGCCTTCATGCCTGCAGAAGCGGGACTGGTATTCTCTCTCTCTCGCCTTCTCAGACTGCACCCCAGAGCCGAATGGTGGAAATTCAAAGCTGTCATCAAAAATCCCAAAGGCAAATTACCCATAGCTTTGTGGCAAGGTGAATAAATACGGATCCACATTCTCAAATGGTTGTCTGTTCTGATCCATGGGGGCTGTAGCAGAGTTGGAACTATTTTCAGTATTTCTGGTCTCTTCCAGAAGCTTTTCAATAAATCCAGACTCACACCTTGGGCAGATATAATCCAGCAGCCTCAGGGAGATCTTGGCCAAACAGCAGTGGCAGAAGAACCGTCCTGGCTGAGGCGAAGCCTCTGTAATTTCCCTTCTCCCCCACCACCACCTCAGCCGCAATTATTACCTAGTTTTAACTAAACTAAGCCCAACAAAATGGACAAGTGCCCTAAAAAGATTTCTACAAAGAGAAAATTCTTATGAAGAAAGCACAAATGAACTTTGAAAAAAAAAACCCAAAACACTTCTACTCCTACTATGAGCAATTCATTAGTCACATTATAAGGTATAAATAATGACAACCTAATCAGATCCAATAAGATTAGGCAAAAATTGAAATTATAAAGATTTGAAATATAGATTTGCATCCACTTACCCAGTATACATTGTGCCTTGAGAGACTGGATAATAATAGCTACCTTTTACATTATGTTTTAAGGTTTGAAAGTGCTCTACATATATTCTTATTTGATCTAATCCTTGTTATCCTATATATTACTGAATTATTCCTGATTATACAGTGAATCTACAGAAAATAAGTTTATATCCCAATACTCATTCAATTGCAAAACTATTTGTTATATTCACCTGCACAATATCTACCAACCATTAAATATAAAAGAATAATATCAGGATAACAACTTTTCCTTGGACAGTTTGTCTGAACCTATCAAAAAAGGACAAGAAGAACAAGATAGCCGTAATGATAGATGGAGAGAAAAGCAGTATGAAGGAAACTGCACTTAAACAGGGATTCTTAATCTTTTTACCTTTGCTCCTTTTCCCCTTTAGTAGTCTGGTAAAGCCAGACTTCTCAGAAAAATGTTTTTAAATGTAAAAATGAAATACATAGGATTACAAAGGAAACCAATTATCAAAATATTTTTTAAAAACAAGTTTATGACCCTGAAGTTAAACCCTATAACAAAAGAAAACAGACTAGGGTAGGAAGAAAAGCTTTAAGTGTGTCAGAAGCCATACTATGTATGAGGGTGACAGAATAAATGTGTAAGAGCAAAACCCATGAAGACTAAATTTTGGAATATTCTTTAAGATAAGAAAAGAGATAAGAATTTTTTTAAAAGAACTACTAGGAACAAGATGTCCCAAGTGAATATATTTAAACTAAAGGAATGGAAGGATAGAGGATCTGGTATACTTTTATCTGGGCTGGAAAATGGAGAAATTTGTTTTAAACCCCCAAAATAAAGAGAAAGAATGTAAAAATACAAGTAATTTCAAGGTGTATGGAATAGGACAAGGCAATAGGGCAGAGGGGTGGGGATTGAGGTGAGCAGAATTTCTGAGAGGAGACTAGGATGAGATTCATGTCAGGAAATCCAACCACATGGACAAAATTTTCATTTTAAAGTGGCAATATGGGAAGGGGAAAATAATACTATAATACAAAACTCTGCCCACTAATTCTGAGTAGTATAGGATAGGTGCAGCCATTTCATTCTTTATTATAATTCTAAAAAGGGTTGTATAAGGACTCAAAAAGCTGAAGAGCCAAGAAGGCCAGTTATCAAGGAACCCTCTAATCTCAGTCACCATCAGCAAACAGAATTAGGGCCAGAGTGGTGGTAAGAGTGGTATCTCTTCTCTGCTCAGCAATAGTGGTTTCTACCACTCTGGTGACAGAGGACTGAATACTGTTGCTGATTTTAAAAATGCAATGAACAGCAGAATGAGGTGAGGGTCTCCTATTTCTTTAAGGGACTTAAACTTGTGCTAAGGCAAAAATGGGCAGAATAGACTTAGCAAGAAGGGCCACCTCATCCTCTGAGAACAAAATACTGCAACTCTTACTATTATTACCATTACCATCACCACCACTCCAACACTAGAAGAACAGGAATTTGAGAATATCTCAAAGGACTAGGCTATGTCAATTGATACATTTTAAATATATAAATATATTTGGGGGGGGGGCTAGGCAATGGGATTAAGTGACTTGCCCAGGGTCATACAGCTAAGTGTTATGTGTCTGAGGTCACATTTGAACTCAGGTCCTCCTGAATCCAGGGCCGGTGCTCTATCCACTGCGCCACCTAGCTGCCCCTATGTTTTTTAACCATAAAGAAAATAGAGATAGTAGAATGAAAATTTTTATTTCAAAATAAAAATTTTTATGGCAGTTGACATGCCTGGATCTTCTAATGTTAAGGTTTGCAAGAACTTTACATACTTTATCTTATTTGATCTTCACAATAATACTATGAAATAAAAACAGCTACCCCCATTTAATAGATGAGGAAATTTATACCCCGAAAGGTTAAGTGACTTACCCATGGTCACACAGTAAGTACCGGAGGTAGAATTCAAACCCAGGTCTCTCCTGACTCCAAATCCAGTTCTCTTTCCACTACACCACGCTGCCTCTCTAAAGAAGAGATGTAGAGAGGATTTAAAGTGTGGAGGAGAGGAGATAAGGGAGCTTATAACAGATGACTAATTTTGTTAGTAAGGCAAGAGGCAGGGTCAAAAGTAAAGGAGAGTAAAAGGTCAACATCACTACCAAATGAGAACAGTGGCAAGGAGTCACCTTCTAAGAATAAGAAATGTCAAAAGCATATGCATTAACTCTTACTTCTTAAAAAAAATCTAACTAGCGCAAAACAGTTACCATAATCAGCAAGATGAAAGAGCCCCCAAATTTCTTTAGTCAGTTGGCCCTTCACCTTCCTGAAAGTGAAACACTGGTTTGGAATACAAGCTCACTTGTAAAACATGACAGAAGCTTAGATTTGGACTTAAAGAGCATTTCTCTATTAAAAACAACAACAAAAACAAAACTGAATGAAGTTATTTTACCAATGTGATCCCTGACTGATATTTTTTCTGTCAGTGACCCTCAAAAGAAAATTAGCAATGGGAATAATTAGCATGGGAAGTCTATATAGCCTCCCCCCCCCCCAAAAGGCTCTATTTACTTTTGCAGCAACAAGTTAACTATCTGAGATGTTACCAAAAATAGACAATAGAATCCAAGCTGTGAGGGAAAAAAAACAAATTACGTATAAATAGAAAATACTTAACTATATGTAGTAGAATGTATCCTTTAAATTGATAGCTATCTTATGATCTAAAAGCTACCATAGGGAACTTCTTGCCAAGATAGTTCACAGAAAGCAGGCAGACTGCCCAGCTCCCACATGCCCAATCCTGAAAAACCTAGAAATTTCATCAGAACAAATAATGGTCTCTAAGAAACCCAAAATAAGAAACAGGATAGGTAAACAATCTAGTAGTCTCCTAAAGACCCCAGCCAGAGATGAAAGGCACTCAGAGACAAAGGGAACTTCCCACAGTGGTCAGAAACCAACAGAGTATGGACACTGGAAGCTACCACGAACAACAACCGGTCCAAGGCAGTCTAGGACTATGGACTCCAAATTCCCTAGCATTCTGTTCTGAGATGTCATAGAAGGAACTAAAGATTCAGTACTTTGAACCTGAAAGATCTAGGGGGTCCCAACTCTAGTAGGTGGAGATTAGCACAGGGTGACCCAGACTGAGATCAAGTAGGGCCCAACTACTCTATTCAAAAATATATCAGCTCCTCCTGAAAGAGATCCGCAAAGGAAAACTCCTAGGAATATTGTAGCCAAATTCCAGAGTTCACAGGTCAAGGAGAAAATACTACAAGCAGCCAGAAAGAAACAATTCAAGTATTGTGGAAACACAATCAGGATAACACAAGATTTAGTTACTTCTACATTAAGGGACCTCAGGGCATGGAATAAAATATTCCGGAGGGCAAAAAAGATAGGATTACAACCAAGAATCACCTACCCAGCAAAACTGAGTATAATTCTTCAGGGGCAAAAATAGTCATTCAGTGAAATAGAGATCTTTCAAGCATTCCTGATGAAAAGACCAGAGCTGAATAGAAAATCTGACTTTCCAATACAAGACTCAAGTGGAACATGAAGAGGTAAACAGGAAAGAGAAATCATAAGAGACTTATTAAGGTTGAACTGTTTACATTCCTGCATGGAAAGATGATATTTGTAACTCATGAGACCTTTGTCAGTATTAGGGTAGTTGGAGGGAAAAAATTATATGTATGTATAGATAGATAGATAGATAGATAGAGGGCACAGGGTGAGTTGAAGATGAAGGGATCATATCTGGAGAATAAAATTAAGGGGTGAGAGAGGATTATACTAGGAGAAGGAGAAAGGGAAAGGTAGAACAGGGTAAATTAACTCACAAAAAAACAGAAAAGAAAAGGCTCTTACAGTGGAGGGGAACCGGGGGAAGGTGAGAGGGAATGAGTGAATCTTATTCGCATAGGATTTGACTTAAGGAGGGTATAACATACACACTCAATTGGGTATGGAAATCTGTCTTACCCTACAGGAAAACAGGAGGGGAAGGGGACAAGAGAGTAGGGGGATGATAGAGAGGAGGGCAGATTGGGAAAGGGGGTAATCAGAAGCAAATGCTTCTGAGGAGGGACAGGGTCAAAAGAAAGAACAGAATAAATGGAGCGGTGGGATAGGATTAAGGGAAATAGAGTTAGTTTTTCACAGTATGTCTACTATGGAAGTGTTTTGCATAACTGCACATGTATAGCCTATATTGAGTTGCTTGCCTTTTCAATGAGGGTGGGGGGGAGGGAGGAAGGGAGAAAATTTGGAACCCAAAGTTTAAAAAACACATGTTTAAAAAAAAATGTTTTCACATGCAACTGGGAAATAAGAAATACAGGAAATGGGGTACAGAAATCTATCCTCCCCTACAGGAAAACAGAAGGGGAAGGGGGGGAGAGATAGCAGGGACAGCAGACTAGGGGAAGGGGTATTCAGAATGCATGCCATCTTGGGGTGGGGGGAGGGGCAAGACGGGGTGAAAATTTGGAACTCAAAATCTTATGGAAGTTAATGTTGAAAACTAAAAATAAAAAAAATAAAATATATATTAAAAAAAAAATATATATATATATATATATCAGGAAGTAAAGCCTGGCCCCGGCATAAAGCCCCAATTTCCCCAACTAAGTCTGGAAAGAAGAGAAAACCAAATAATTACAACAAATGGAGACATACCCCAAAATTCAACCAGAAGGAATAACTCTATAAGCAAAGAGACTGAAAGGAAAAAAATGAATTTTCCACAAGAACTACATGAATATCTCAAAGAAATGAAATAAGAAGTTTAAAAAATTGAATAAAGGTTGAGGAAGTGAGAAGAAACTAAGCAGCTCAGAACATAAAGTAGTAAACTTAAGTAATAGCTTCCCTAATAATCATAATAGACCAAACAAATTAATGACTCCAAGAGAAAGCAAAAAACAGTACAGAGAAAAAAGGAGAAAATGTAAGATATCTAATAGAAAAAACAAAAAGAAAGTGACTTGGACAACAAGTCGAAAAGAGCTAGTTGGTTGGACTACCTGAAAACCATGATAATAAAGAGCCAGTAACCCATATTTCAAGAAATCAGAAATGAAAACTGATTCTGTTAGAATCTGAGGACAAAGTAACAATAGCAAGAAACCATCAATCACTTCCTGAAAGAAACCCCCAAAAGTCCCAGAAATTTCAGTCAAAATCCAGAATTCCCACATAAAAGAAAAAAAATGGTGCAAACACTCAGAGTTTAGTACCAAGAAATTAAGGTCAGAATCAAACACAAGTTGGTAGCTTCTATCATAACCAAAAGAGATCTTAGAATGTAATATTCTAAAAGGCAAAAGATAAAGGCTGAGAGCTACAAAGCTGAGTACCATCCTACAAGAGGAAAAATTGGACCTATAATGGAGAGAAGTTTCTCTTTCAAGCATTTTTGATGAAAAGACCAGAACTTCATAGGAATTCGGAAATGTAAATATAAGAATCAACAAAATCCTAGAAAGGTAAATTTATTTGAGCAATTGGAAGGGGCTACACAATATGGAATGCTAACATTCTAACATGGAGAGAAGAAAGTGTTCCTTGAGAACCTTAGTTCCTTAACAACTTTATGTCTTCAAAGGGAATGAGACAGCTAAATGAGAAATATAGAAGACCCAAGTGTGGATGGATTCTTAGCAAAGGTTTTTTGTTTTTTTTGTTTTTTTTTTAAGTAAAGAGCTTGTTTCTCACAATTGGGTATATGAGAAGAGTATTCATGGAGCAATGGATTCAGGGAGGAAGAATCCAATTAACTTCATTCTTACCTGACCTGGACAAATGAGGGCCGAAAATGGATACAGACACACACCCATCCCCCACAACAGGTTGGTGTAGAAATACATTAATTCAACATGGAAACTGGTGGAAATGGCAGATGGGGTTAAGAGGATGGATGATACAAGGAAGGAATAAGAGGAAAAAATAATAATAATAATTTTTTCTTCTTGACCCTTAAGGAAAGATTAAAAGAAAAAAAAAGCAAACAATTAGAAACTAATAGTGTTCCCATCATTTGGGGAATGGCTGCACAAACCGTCATAGATGAATGTAATGGAAGATTATTGAGGCAGAAGAAATGACAAAAGAGAATTTCAGAGAATCCTGAGATATATGAATAGATACAGTGATGTGAGAACAGGAGAAAAAATTTCTTAAAAGAACAACATGGAAAAGAAAAAAAAATCTTTGACAGACCAAAGAATGCTGATCAAAGTAATGATATATCACATTTCCATAGGACCTATGATAAAGTATGTACTTTTTAACAGAGACTTGATGATCTAAGATGAAGATATATATGTTTTCGAACATGGCCACTGTACAGATTTTTTCCCCCTTTATGTTTATTTGCACAAAGCTTTTATTCCTACTTTTTTAAAATTAGGGGATGGGGCGAGAGGTGGAGTGAGCAATAAAGATGTCAAAATAAGAGGGTCATCAAACTTTTTTTAAATGTTCAGAAGAGAACAGAAGGAAATTCAGAAAGAATACAAACAAGCAGGATAGTTTTAAAAGCAACATGTCAAATTAACTATACACTTTTTAAAAAAGCAAGTAGTATGAAATATACATTCAATTTCATATGCAAACCTTTCTGTGTTCTGCTTTGGTATATGGAAATACTCATGTGGGGAGATGTTTAAATTCAGAATAAAAAATTTAATTTTTAAAATAAAAGCTACCATTAGCTAATTGTTTTTATGGCCACATGTTTTTAAGGAAGCAAGCTTTAAAATGCTTCTCCTTTATGTGGGAAAAAAAAATAGTAAATGCCATAGGAAAAGAAAGCCAGCAATTTTAAAACTATAAAAGCTTTAAAATATGAACAGTGATGTATAAAGGGTCTCTCTTGTGAAGCATTTCGATGTATTTTTGAAAAACAAAGGATAGATTTCCAGGTAACCAGAACAACAAAGTGGAGGACTAGATACTTTTCTGATATTCATGCCATCTCAAATCTCTCCAAATCAAGAATCACAAG